AATTTTATGGGTATTTCTTCCGTATCTCAAATGTGCTATGACCCCTCATTCATTGGATGAGTAGAACTTGTAGCAATTGGTGTTCAATGCTACATGAACATGAATATTATGGTATTTGAAAACACTGTAAAAAATTATAAACAGTGCCAGAAGCAAGCATTCGTATACATATAGGCTCTTCGGCATCTCTGGGAAACATTTAAATCAAATCAGGTTCTAAATAAAAGACCCTATGAACATTATCACTGTATTCTTTCTTTAAAAGGATGAAATCACCTTATACCTTCGTTCATCAACTGTTGGTTCACACAGTGCATATTTATGAAGCATGTGATATGAGTTTTGCAGGTTTCAGGTGACAGGGATAGAACAATGAGCAAGAGAAACAAAATCTCCTGTCTTGAATGAACTCATATCCTGTTGATGGAATACAGAACCACTTCAGTACGTAAATAAGGTTTGTGTATCCACTAAAGTACCCTGAAACACAAGTGGAACATAACTATTTCTGATTTTATACCTAAGAAAATAGTACTTACTAAACACAACTTAGCAAATTTCTTGGGTTCACTTATTTTATTGAATATAAGCAATTTCCTCCCTTGGTCTGAAAAAAAAAATCAAAGTAAGATCTTTTCCCATTTCTTTACTGATCTCTTCTTATACCAGCCCAAGGAAACACAGAAAGATTCTTAGAATAACTGGTTTATTCTTATTACTTTATGGATAAGTACCAAAACTCAAAGATCATTACGATTTTTGTCATAAATGAGGCAAAAATCTGGCAGCTGAAGAAAGTTGTCACAAGACTACTGACAACAATTACAACACAGTTTGGAGCAATCCAAGCAGTTATTTTCCCCTTAATTCAAACATAAAATCATGAATCAAACAATGGTGAAATGGCTCAAAATCTTAAGCAAAGCCAGCTGAGTTGAACAAGAGGGATGAAATTGGGTAAATTCCAAATTCATTACGTAGGGCAAGGCATGCTTTTTCATAGACAATATCTACTCCTTTGAAGTATTCAGTTGATCAAATTTAGAGTGAAATTATTTTTTTCATTGACTAGTTTAAGGGGCAAGGATATAAAAATAAAAACTCAGGTATCTGGATTAGCCACTTACGCTTGCTAAATGAGCCCCTCTTCCTGTCCCTCTCTAGGCAACAGAATCCCAAGTACCATATCCGCTCCCTGACTCACTGCTTTTTAGATCACATTTTCTGAACCAGAGCAGAGAAATCGATTATCTCGCCCAGGGTTGTAGACATGCTGGAAACTGATTAGTCATTAACCTCTTCTCCGCTCCTAGGGCTCACGGGAGGAATTTCAGCATCTTGGTAGATTAGGAGAAAGCATGAGTAGCCCAGATTAGAGGAGTGGAGGGATTTTGCGAGGGTCTGCTTCTAAACCTCTGACAGGTGCTCGCTCTCCCAAGGGAGTTCAGGACCATCCATCTCAGCCGGCCACCAGTCAGTTGCTGATGAGCCCACGAGACCTGGATTCCAAGTGGGTCACACAGCAGCTGGTCTATCTGCTAAGCCAAGCAGGGTCTTTCCCAGGCATGCTGAGATCAGCAGGTACCGATGATGGAAATGATAGATAACCTCCTGCAGAATGGAACTGCATCTGCTTCTGAAGCAAGCCGAAAGGGTTACTGGAGCTTCTAGGAGCCACGAGCTGGTCGCTTGCTTCCCTGTACTCACAGCCTCTGGTTCAATAAAAATGTAAATGTTTTCTGGGTACACAAAGCATATTTCACAGCGATAATGAATCTGTTGACATACTGTTTATACTGTATTCTATAAATCTTAAGGCGGTGTTTGCCCAGGAGAAAGGGGGACACACAGAGAAGCCTGTTCTCCCGTCCACCCTGCACACCAGGCTTGGCACATGCCTGCTGCTGTTCCTGGCACAGTGCCCAACCTGCCTTTGTTCAATCAGAGCGTTTTGACATTGGGAGGGGCCCTCAGCACCCTGGCTGACCCAGCAACTGTAACTGCATTTGGAGCAGCAACTCAAAGATGTTATTTCAAAAAGCAGATGCCATGGACTCAAAAACCAGTCCTGTAGCATAATTACCTGGCCTATTTATTGCTGCCCAGGTGCCATGGCCAATGAGTGATGCCCAGATCAGCAGGGCAGAGGTGACCTATCTGTGTCCCCTCCCCACAGGGAAACAGGGAGGCAGCCTGTCTGCCTGCATGAGCTCAGATCTGTTTCTGTGTGCCCCGGAGGCTAGCGGAACCGGCTCTTGAGTGGGCAGGGGCCGCGTGAATGGAGGCATCCTCCCTTTGTTCAAAGATTTCTAAGAATGTCAAGATGGTGACAGCGGAGGCAAGCCTGGCAGGCGCCCAGAGCCAGCCCAGGTCGGGCTGGGACCACTTGGCTGCAGGCTGCAAAGGAGGAAAGGCTGCCCCCTAGTGCTGCCGGGGGAAATTCTCCCAGCTCCCTTTTCCCTCCCACAGGGCCCCTGCAAGGGGCACAGGGGCTTCTAGGCGCATTCTGTCAAAGTGCATGGATAGAATTTTACAGGCAGATCCTTTGCTGTCCGTATCTTACGCTACCCAACGGTGCAGGAACAAATCTCCCGGGGGCCTGTCAGTTGCAAGAGCTTTCCTCAACCTTTTCATACCTGCAAACCAGCCCTTCGCTGACCTGCAGGTCCCAGGGCCAACTATGACCATCAAGACTGTGACCAGAGGTTTTCACCCCGGCATGGGTCCGCTCAGGTGGCTCAAGTCTAGCTCATTCCACTGACTTAGTGTGAGGGGGCAATTTTCATGCTGCTTGTGGGTTGTTATCTTTTCCCCTTTCAAAATCAGAACTGGCTGTGAATGACCTAAAAGACATCCCTGGCACAGTATGAATTTTAAACTAAGGCTAGAATCACTGTGATGATTATCCTACCTTATGCTTTATAAAGGAAGCTCAAGTTCCTAGAAGAGAATCTCTGAAATCACCCCCAAGCATAGCTCCAGCTTGTCCTGGTGCCTAAGACCCCTCCCCGGTTTAGGGGAAATTCTAGTCACCTCAGCAGACATCTCTAATGACAAAATGTACATTCACTGGAGAGGAAGGGTGAATGTGGATTTTGCTCATTTTCTTTTCTTTTCTGTTTTATTTTTCTTTTTTGTGGCTACTTTTCAAGGCACATTAAAGTTCAATGTAGTTTCCAGGCCCCTTCCTTCTTTTTTTCCCTTCTCGATAAGGCCCGAGACAGGCACAAAATATTGAATTAATGAAGGAGTGAGTGATTAAAAATCTTATAAGGCTCAATTGCAAGGTGCTCTCCATACAAAACCTTTTAAATTATCCTTTGCCAGTTAATCGAACTTTCTGTCTTACAAAAGTCCCTTCACCAAAGGATGGCTATAATATACGGTACACATACTGATTATTAAAAATATCCCACTTCCCAACTGGAGGAAAGTGGGAAATGAAATAAGTCTTTACTTCGGTACAAGTTCATCTGCACTTTCCCTCTAAAACCAAAATTTGAGATAATTATCTTTTCTACAATGGTAAAGCAGAGGTTTATCAATTGGGGGGGGGCGGGGGGAGCTGCTGGCTCAGCCAGGAAAGTCCCTGGGCAGAAGCTGCCCGAGAGGTGAGCCCTAGAGTAGGGCCCAGCCCGCCACTGAGCCTTCTTCCCTCCAGCGCGGGACTCGGGCTGTCGTTGACCTTGGGCAACAAGGCTCAAACATAAAATCCAGAAGCACAGCCATCCCACCCCAGGTCCCAAAGGGGGGGAAAAAAAGGAAAAAGAGCCAAACCCAGTGGGTGCACGGGGGAGGCTGAGATTGCAGAGCGGGTCGCGAGCATGGCCGGGGTGGGGGCGGCAGAGAGCGACCCCCACTCTGCAGTTTCTTTTTTCCTGCAGGACTGGAGGCAGTGGGTGGGGGAGGGGGGGCGCACGGGAGACGCGGGCTGGGGTGGCCGCCGGCGTTCCTTGCCGCCTCCTCCTGCTACTCCTCTTCCTCCCCCTCCTCCTCCCGGCGCTCAGCAGGGAGAGCCCAGGGCGCCGGGGTGGGGGGATGCGGAGCCGCGGTCCCCGACACCCCCCGAGCCCAGCCTCCCCACCCGTTCTCGGTGCCGGGAGCAGCGCCGTGTCCCTGCCAGGGGCGGCGCGGGCTTGAGCCGCTGCTGCTAAAATTAGGTGCTGCCCGGCCGCCTCGGGGTGCTCCGGGAAGGCTGGGCTCGGGCGGCGCCCGGGTGCCCGCGTCTTCCGAGCGGGGCGTGATTTACCGGCCTTGAGGGACCAGACGCCGACCCCCGCGCCCCACCCAGTCCCCTCCAAATGGGTCCGGGAGAGCCAAAGTCCGGAGTGCGCCGGCCACGCGCCCGGGTGCCCCCCACCCGCGGGCCAGGGTCCGGCCACTCGGGGTCCGCGGCGTCCCCAGTGGCCACCTCCGAAGTGGGGATCCAGCACACAGCGCGGGTTCCCTCCCCCTCCCGCCGTACCCCGCTTTCGCTCCTGGGGGACTGCTCTCCCATCAGGGTGTCTCCACAGCCCCCCTAAACCAGGGGGGAGGAGACGGAGCGTCCCCACGCCCGCTGCGCAGCGACGGAGGATGGGGACCCCCGCACCGAGTTGGGGAGGGGGGGGCGCGGCGAGCCCCTTCGCGCTCTTCCAGGACAGTGCCCGAGTCTTTTGACTAGCGGCGTCCACGCACAGGGGTGCCCTCCTTTCCGGATAGCGCGGGGGCGCCTGTGGCCAGACCCGGTGCCCGAGCGCAGCAGCCGGCCGGGGATCCCCGGGCTGCGCGCCCCGAGAGGCGGGCGGGAGGAGGAGGGACCTCCCGGCGGGCGCGCGCGCGGCGGGGCCGTCGGGGGGCGGCGGTGGGCGGAGGCCGGGGGGGGGGGGGAAGGCGGGCCCAGGGGCCCCGCCGCCCCCGCCCCTCCCTCCCGCGCGCGCCGGCGGCCGCGGCCACGACGCTGGGAGCTGCCCCCGAGGCCGCTGCCCGGCCGGGTCGGCGCGCAGCCCGCGCCCAGGCCCCGGCGCGCAGCTCGAACGCCCCCCGGGCTCCCGCGGGCCGCCCCGATGTGGCGGGAGGCGATGCGGCGGCGCCGCTACCTGCGGGACCGAGCCGAGGCGGCGGCGGCGGCGGCGGCGGGTGGCGGAGAGGGGCCGCGGCCGTCGCGGGACTGGCTGTACGAGTCCTACTACTGCATGAGCCAGCAGCACCCGCTCATCGTCTTCCTGCTGCTCATCGTGATGGGCGCCTGCCTCGCCCTGCTCGCCGTCTTCTTCGCCCTGCGCCTGGTGAGTGCCCCGCGCCCCCCGACCGTCCCCCGAACGCCCTGCGCCCCGCGCCCCCCGCGCGCCCGGGACCGACCCCCGCGCGCGCCCCGCACCCATCCCCGCGCCCCCCGAGCGCCCCCAGCCCGGCTCGGGAGCCTCGGGTCAGGGGGGCTGCAAAAAGTTTCCCGGGAAGACGCAGCCCCCGAGAAAGTTGCAGGGATGCTCGCCCCGGGGGGCGCCGCGGGCCCCGGGGTTCCCCGCTCCGCGCTGCAGCACCCGGCCCCTCGCGCGCTTCCCGCAGCCGCGACCCACCCCGCGGGGCCGGCGAGCGGCTGGGACCCACCCTCCCCCCCGCACACACCGGGCGCCGACCCCTGCAGCCTGCCCCGTGAAGCGCCCGCCAGCGTGGCCCGCGGGGGAAGCCGCCCGGTGCGCGTCGTGGCTTCCCAGGGCGCGCTGAGCGCAGGCGGCCCTGGGGAACCCGGAGTCTGGAGCGTCTCCAGCCCAGCCCTGCCCGGCTCCCCGCTTTCCCGAGCGAGCTAGAGGGGGCTCGAGGCGCCGACCCTAGCGGTTTATTGTTCCCGGAGGTTTCTCTGTTCACCCGGCGGCGCAGACTGCCGGTCAGCGCCTAATGTCCATTTGCTGAGTGATGTTTGCTCGCCGCCCGGGGCTCGCCTGGCCGGGCAGGGTGAGGACATCGGTAAAGGCGGCAAACTTGCGGGGATCGGTGGCTCTGCGTGTGTCGGCGGCGGGTGGGGAGTGGGCGCCAGTCTCTGACCCGTCTGAACGCTCTGAGCGCCCGCAGGGACCAGTCGGCGGACCCGGGCAGCCTGGAGCGGGGCGTACATCTGCCTCTCTCGCCACCGAGCGATATTTTTTTAGCTTAGAATATAAATAGGCACGGGTACTTGTGTTCACCAGCCAATACATGCGTGCTGGGTTTAATTTCACCAAGTGTGCAAAATAGCTGTCCTTGGTATTTGGCAACGGGTGTCTGATCCCCTGGGCCAGATGGTGCTCTGATGCCGCGCATGGGGAACCCTGTTATTCTGGGGCTCTTAAAAAAATAATAAAGCCCTTCCCTCCTCATCCTCATTGCTCGAGAGACAGACGCTGTCTTTGGCTGGAATCCAGGAGGGGAAGAGCAGGGAAGAGATGGGAGGAGGTCTCCAGGTCACCTGCCTGAATAGGGATCTTGGACTCTGGCCTCCCTGGCTGGTCACTCTCCTTGAGTCAGCACTCTGACGACCCCTGAGCTCTTGGTGGGAGAACTCGGTGCCCACCCATTTGCAAATGGTCCTCCAACTCCATTCCTCCAACTCCATCAGCTTTTCCTTCTTCCACTGGCGGGGTAGAGAACGTGTCTGTTTGTGGCTGGAGTCTCTCTGCCAGGGCATTTCTGCCTGCAGTTCTGTGGATTCTGTAATCCAAGCCGTTCTGACTCGCTCTCTCTTAAATGGAAAGGAGGAGCAGGTGATGGGCTATTTATAGTGCCATTAATACACTTAGAGCCCAGGGCGAAGGTGCTGCCTCCCGCTCTCCTGCTACCCGGATCCTTCTACACCTTGGCACTACCCACTCAGAAGGGCCCGAGTGCTGGCAGGGGAGCGAAGGGCCCAGGTTAAAGGATATGTCTGCCTTGTCGCTGACCGTTGTGCACACTTTGCTTCTTAACTTTGGGCTGGAGGAACACACCCAGCCATGCCCAGGGATTGTCCCTGGGTGCTGTAGGGACAGTATGCAGTGCTGGAGATTGGCCCGTGGTATCTGAATTACCCCTGATCTTTGGATGCTCCATCTCTTTATGCGGTAACTTTAGGTTCATCCCTCAGAGTGCAAATAAATGCAGCAGGGGTCGCCTTCCAATAAAAGTGTCTCTACTTCTTTCCTGGCCAAGCTATCATTTCCAGACTCATTAATTCCTTAACAGCAGCAAGGAGACATTTTTTTTTTCCTGGTCCCATTTTTTGCTGGGCAGCGGGATCCCAAGGCAAGGCATGGGGTCTTGTTCTAGGCTGTTGCTGTGTAGTGATCTGCCATGGAATGTCCCAGAAATGCAGAAAGGTCCCAGAATCAGGAGGGTTGCAGGAACGCCACCTTTAGGTAGAGTCTGGGGCTGCAGAGGTGAGTAACAGGTGGGGATGTTGGGTCTCCTGTGGAAGGACAAGGATAGCCCAGCGCATTGTTGTACTGTGAAGTGTCATCAGCAGTCTTGCTGTCTTCCAAAAATTGTGTTCCATCCAGATGGCCGAAGATGTGGTTGGCACACGGGAAAATGGAATAACCTTAAGTAGCCCCTTGCCATGAGCAGAGGTGCTGGCTTTGGAAAGATCTCCCTGGGAAGATGGAGTAACTAGGGGCTGGCCCAGTTCCTGCCTTCCGGCTCTTCTCTAGAATAGCAAAGCTTTGGTGTGAAGCTTGAAGATCTCATTTTGTTGCCTGAAGCCTTGGACTGATTCCTTCTCTCTCCCGAGTGGGCCTGATTTGGATTTCTTTGGAACCCCCAGCTCTTGGAGTAGATGGTTTTCATAATCCACATCTATAGCCTTTGCTTCTTTGGGGGCCACAGCTGGCCATGCTCAGGACTTACTTCTGGCTCTGTGCTCAGGGCTCAGTCATGCCTGTTGGGTGGGTGGGGGCATATGGGATGCTGGGGATTGAACCTGAGTCAGCGCAGGGAAGGCACATGCCCTACCCCACCTGCTGCACGATTGCGCCAGCCCCAACAGGTCACTAGTCTCTTGGGACATTCGTGTCACAAAATAATCCAAGTACCCAGATAGGCTGTTTTTTTTTTAATTGGGCTACATGTAATTGCCTTTGTATGAAGTGATTTGAACTATGACAAAATGTGAGCTTTGTCATGACACACCAGTTCCCAAACTAACTACTTGGTTTGCAAATTGATTTCACTTAGTTCTGTGGTAAGTCCTTGATCTGCCTGAAGTTAAACTAATGTCAGAGTACGTTGATGATCCAGGAAAAATTGGAATTTCGTGGTCTTGCTTAGTTGTTTTCTCTGCACTGTACTATTGCACTGGCCCCTGACTGATGTCTTTAAGTGGACCCTCTATAAGAGCCCCCCCCCCCCCCCCGCTGCCATATCCTCTGAGCCAGGTCCCAAGTGGGCTCTTGACAGCATGGCCACACCAAATCCTGTGCACACGAAGTCTCTTCCATACGTGCATCCCTGTAGTAAAGTCACATTTCTAAATTAGGCCCAGAAAGAATCTAGTAAACTAGTAATAATACTGAATAAAGTTGTAATAATAGTACATGATAGCACAGCGGGTAGGGCGTTTGCCTTGCATGCAGCCTACCTGGGTTCGATTCCTCTGTCCCTCTCGGAGAGCCCGGCAAGCTACCGAGAGTATCCCACCCGCATGGCAGAGCCTGACAAGCTCCCCGTGGTGTATTCGATATGCCCAAAACAGTAACAAGTCTCACAATAGAGACGTTACTGGTGCCCGTTCAAACAAATCAGTGAACAACAGGAGGAGATTGCTACATAAAGATTTGGGGGGGGGGTGTACAGAGTTTATTCTGGCTCTGTGCTCAGGATTTTTTTTTTTGCGGGAGGATGTGGTGCTCAGAGCTTATCCTGGTTCTGTACTAAGGGGTCATTCCTGGCAGGGCTCAGGGGACCAGATGGGGTGCTGGGGACTGAAGCATTTCCACACCACTGTTGTGAGGTCCTGCAGACCCCAGGCTAAGCTTACAAACTCTGTGGCATAGCTGGGGGTCCGGGTCTCCGCAGTGTCTCACCACTGAGTAAGGGGATGGGGTGATGGGAGCATGTCACCTGGTACTACCAGGCCCCAAACAAATGACTTAATGGGTCCCTGTTGCCAGGGACATCTCTCTTGAGTGAGGGCTCCTGTGAATGCATTTCAGGCAAATGCTAAAACAGCACCACGATGTTAAAGTCTGGTGTGAAAGAATAAGACAAGAATTTATTCGGTAATAAATGCTGGACCTGTAACAGGTTGAGTTAAATTTTCAATGATAAGGGGAGAGTGATCTGGAGAGATAGCACAGAGGATAAGGCGTTTGCCTTGCAGACGCCCATGGGGGTTTCACCACAGGGCCCCCCTAGCCCTCCTAGGGATGATCCGTGAGTGCAGAGCCAGGAGTAAGCCCTGCCCGAGGCCAGGCATGGCTCCCCTAAAACAAACAAACAAACAAACAAACGAGAAGCCTGAGGAGTTTAATTAAATCACATCTCAATGTGCTTCTCCTTTTTCAGCACTAGAGTTTGTGACACGTTGATGCTTGTTTTGATCTTCAAGGTTTTCGAGGTTGTGAGCTTTGTATATGCCATTCCCGGTAATAATAGCCGGATACTGAGCGTGCGATTCCTTGGTGTCAGACTCGGAACTTGACACCCAGCTCGCAGTTGTGTTCAGTGGCCCCAAGTGTGCTTGGGATGTGCAGCACTCACCCTTAGACTGACCCAGGGAAGGGTGGCCTTGCTGTCCTGCTTGCATGCGGGCACGTTGGAAGTGATGGGGAGGGAAAGGGGGCGGAGAGCTGAGCGTGGCTGCCGCTGGCGGTGTTACAACCGTTGTTCCTTTGGGTTCCCTCTCTCTGCGGGGGCTGTCAGGAGCCAGCCTTGAGCAAGACAGAGGGGGGCTGGCGCCCCCAGCTCTTCCTGTGAAGCCCTTTCCATAGCCTTGTTCATTTTCAGGCTGCCCAGAGTTCTAGAAGGACCGTGCTGAGCAGGGAAGCTGATCCACGATCCCAGTAGCTAATAGGGGTGCAAAAGGCTGATGGTGGCCAGCTTTAAAAAATGTGCTGGAAATGAGAATTTTCAGTTATTTGTGCAATTGAAATAGAGCAGATGAATAATTGATTGCATTGGAAACAGAGTAGCTTTTAAGCACATTAAAATTCCTGAGACAGTTTCGAAAGGTGGTTATGACGGTCTCAGAAGAACCTATAAATAAATGAAGTCTCTAGGGTCACGGCCGCTGGGGATTCCTGGGGGACCATGGCACTGTCAGAAACCCTTGAGACCGGGC